GCTAAAACCGCAATTTCAAAAGCGCACTGACAACACCGCGCCAACAACACCGCGGCGCTAAAACCGCAATTTCAAAAGCGCACTGACAACACCGCGCCAACAACACCGCGCCGACAGAAGCGCGATTTCATTTAAGGTAAGATTTACAGTTAGGGTTAGGGTTAGGGTTAGGTTTAGGGTTAGGTTGAGGGTTACGTTACAGCGCGCTTCTGTCGGCGCGCTTTTGTCGGCGCGCTTTAGGGCTAATTAGTCGCTCATTCGTCGCGCGGTTTTGTCACCGCGCTTTAGACACCGCGGTTTAGTCAGGTGCGCATTTGTGGTGGAACCGTTCTTAAGTATGTGCTAGTCATTCCCGATTCTAGGGGGCAGTGCTCAGAGATGGGTTGATGCTGGTTCGGCCCACTTCTGCCAAACCGGTAGTGGAATTCAGGCCTAGATCAAAGAACCAGCACCGGCCCAGGCCTGCCATGCCCCCGAACTGGTTCCCTCACCCCTGCTGGCTGCTGCCATTTTGTGTTTTTTTTAGTGACTGCATGTGCACAGTTTACTGTAAATTGTTCTGTGCATGCACAAAGAACAATTTACACAGAACAGCGCACGGACATGTTCCGAACTGGTAGTAAAACTGGCAGCTACCCCTCCCCCCTCGGCGGTACTCATCTCTGTTTTAAAGCCGAAGAGCCAGCGCTGTCCGAAGACATCTCCATGGTCATGTGGCTGGTATGACTAAACGCCAAAGGCACATGGAATGCTGTTACAACAGGTGATTCCTATTTTTTCTACTTGCATTTTTTACCTGCCTTCGAACTGCTAGGTTGGCAGAAACTGGGACAAGTAACGGGAGCTCACCCCGTTATGCGGCGCTAGGGATTCGAACTGCTGAATGGCCTACCTTTCTGATCGACAAGCTCAGTGTCTTAGCCACTGAGCCACAGTGTCTCTAACCTTAATTCTACATGTGTCGAAATAATGCTTGGAGGAAATTTGGGGGGGGGGGGGTTAAAACAAGCCTATCTGCTGATGTGATGGACAAAGGTCACAGGTTGGGCAGAACTGAAGCCACCACAAACTATGAGTGGCAAATATGCCTTTGAATGAAATTTGTTAGCCAGAGAAGGTGCTATTAGGCTTTTCCTGATTGGGGTGGAGGAAATTGATACAGCAATTTTAACAATTGGCCAGCAGATGGCACTCTTAGCATAACATTTTAAAAGCAGTTTAATTACATGGATATTTCTTATTCACAAAGATATCTCTTATTCACAAACGGTATTGATGGGGCGACTGGAACTGAAGAGAAAGAAATCACCGAGTCAGCTAAAAAAAAACACACACTTTCTTTATTATTTTGGCATCCACTCTCCAAACATGTTGGCCTGACACAAGTAGTCATACAGGTGGAGCCATACTTGTGAAGCTGCTAGTCTGGGCAACTAACATCCATGTAATCGTAAATAATCTTTTTTACATGACGGTAGATCCAGCCAAGGGACAAAGCTGGATGGCCACCTATCTGGAATGGTATAGGGTCTCCTGCTTGAGCAGGGGTTGGGACTAGATGACCTACAAGGTCCCTTCCAATTCTGTAAATCTGTTAATTTTCTGAGAGCAATCAATGAATAGAACAGAAGTTGCCTTCAGAAGTTGTGGGAGCATCATCACTGGAAGCTTTCAAGAAGAGACTGGGCTGCCACCTGTTAGAAATATTTCAGGGTCTCCTCCTACTTGGGTGGGGTGGGGGTTGGACTAGATGACCTCCAAGGTCCCTTCCAGCTCTATACTGATTGATTGATCGATTGATTAAAGTAAATTAATTTTGAAGATTGGCTTTTGGTCTGCTGGTTGGGTTTCTTCTCAGTCTCGGTTAAAAAAATGCTTAAGGACAATGAAAGATAAAATTGCGACTCTACCTGAGTATCAATAATTTACTTTGAATAAACTCCACAGATCGCAAAGAAAGGCACACAGCTTGTTGAAATTTTGGAAAAAATACATTTATTATTTATTTTAATATTAATATTTATTTTAAACACAATGAAGCTTGTTTAATTTCCAGAGTGGAATTTTTTTTTTAAAAAAAAATTACAATTGGTTTTATTCAGCTTGATTGTATTTCTGTGACCAATTTTAACCAGCACCAGGAAAAAGAATTAGAAATATTATCTTGACTATAGCTGATATCTAATCATTTAAAAAATATATATACATTTTTTTTGCCCTGTACTGAACAACGTAACATTACATTATTGCCTTGTATTAGAATAAAATATCAATATTCAGCTGCAAATGATGTCTTTAAATCACAAAGGGAGAAAAAGTTAGCACCAAATGGTAGTGAAATTCCTACAATCACAAGTGACAAATTGTGCAACTATAAATGTACAGTACTTCATGGAACAGTACATAGAATAAGGCTTTGTCACAGTGGAAATATTACCATGCAGGAGTGTTGAGCTGAAAATGAACAAATAAAAATATTGCTTTATGTAGTGTGGGAAGTTATCATCCAGCCCTCTCCCAGAAAAATGAAATATCCTAGGAAATATTGAAAAGGCAGAATATTTCTCTGGATATGAAAAGAAAGAAGCATGTTTTAAAAGACAGAATAGTTCCCTTAGCTTCCTGCCCATCCCCACTGTTAATGGACCATTAAGAAGGCCAAGATAGTCCCTTTTAGTAAATAAAGTATCTGCTGAGCAA